AAAAAAAAAAAAAAAACGTGGGTGAACGTTGAAAACATAATTACCCGAGATGGATGGATATGGAGGCCTCCAGCCCTCTCCAATATTATCGCGTTGGACATACTTATTTCTGTCACGGTCCCTGTAAAAGTTCCCATTGTCCGAATTACGAGAATGGAATCTGTTGGGACGTGAAGGCGGTGGAGCATCCCTCCGCGACTGGACCCGCTGTTCTTGCACATACGAGAACTGATTTGAGGGGGCAGGATGAGGAGGCCGTAAATGAAAGCTCTTGCCATATCCATCATTCGGCTGCTCGCTACCACAAGTTCTACTAGAAAATCGAGAGGTATGTCGATCGCTAAAACAACCATTGTCAGGCACGTGTCTAGGAACCTCAGCTTCATAATCCTTGTTTTCACGAACACGATGGTGCACATGATGATCCACACTCGTGGGCTCTCGAAAATTGACACTATAATTCTGCAGGTCCAAAACAGCAAGTCAAGAAAACCGAAAAAGGGAAAAACAAGGTAGCAGCTAAGGGCACGGTTGGTAACGGATCGAAACGGTTTTGATTGGATTTTGAGTTAAAGTGAGTTAATTTTAAATAAAGTTGACTGAGTGGATGATTGAGTAGGATTTTGAGTTTGCATTTAAATAATATTTAAAATGTAATGATTAAAGTCGATGTGATGTAAAAGTAGGAGAGAGGTTATTAGAAATGATAGATAGTTAAAAATATGTGATTAAATGAATAGTGAAATAAAGTTAATGTGATGACAGTGATGTGTGAGGATGATTGATTGGTATCAACTAATTCTATTGTCAATATTGAGGAGAGATGGGTTTAGATTAAATTTGAGTAGGATTTTTGAGTTAAAGAGTAACAAAATATATCCGATCGATACAAATCCGTTAACAATTGCGCGCTAAAATACCAAGAATGATTATGATTAATGAAGCCAGTACAGAATGGAACCTGAGAACTCGAATAGGGCTTAGAATCAGGGCCAACCGGAATAGAATCAGGCAGCTGAAGAGGAAAAGCAGAAGGCGGAAGTGGATGAGGTGGCGGAGGTGGAGGTGGAGGTGGGGGTGGGGGTACATCCTTAGGTTGATGATGGGTCATTTGTGATTTATCGAGTCCAACAAAATTACTCGTGGAAGCAATCTCATCTTCACAGCAGGGAGCTACATCTTCCATTTCAAGCTCGCCATCGACATCTTCCAAAATATGCCGACGCTTTTCAACTGCATGAACCGGATTCGAATCTCCCTCGTGATTATCAACATTGTGCTCTGGTGTGACAGCCTCAAAGCTCTCGCCATCAGAATCACTTCCAGCATCATCATCATCCCCCAGAATACGAGGCATGCAAAAACCAGGAAGCTGAATGCTCGAGTTGCTAAAAGTAAAAGGCTGACTTGTGTAAGTGATGGTTCAAAGATAATAAATAAAAAAAGTAGGAAAAAGGGCCATGTTGTTGTCAGGTTTTCATTTGATTGAAGGAGAAAATAAAGTACCTCCCGTATTCATCCACCATCATCCCCTCCATCTCTCTGATAGGATCGTCAAAAGCTCTTTCGTTTCTCAAGGTTCGGTTAGAGCCCATAGTAGGATATGAACCACAAAGTGCATCAAGCTCCCGGATGTGGTGGCGAATTATCGGTTCTGGAAGAATCTTTCTCTCCTGCCATACTTTCAGAACCTATTCACCAATCCAGAGAATATTAACGACATGCTTTTATGAGATATACAAAATCATCAGAAAGGTCCAAGAGTGTAAACATGAATGGAAGCACCATTTGCACTTACTTTCAAACATTGCCTATGATTCTCATGAGAACTACTACTAGGAGGGGCAGCAGCTAATAACAAACGGGGCAAGAGTGCTTGGATAGCAGATGGATATACACCACCATCACCTACATAATCAATTAACATATTTCAACATAGATGTCAATGCGATCTTGAGTATGCAGAGATCATACACAATGATAAAAGCATGGACGAACTTAGCTTTAGTTACCTTTAATGGCTCGAGAGCATTGGGTGATAGAATCAACAAGGAAAAATAAGTCAACCTTTTTGGGCAAACTTGACTCGGTCTCCAAATTATGCGCCAGTATTTCCACCACCTAAACCAAAAAGTATAACAAGGCATTGTTACAGTATTGTATGCTATCATATAGTACCCTCCGGAATCATCAGCAATTCGAGTAAGGACATGTGATGGTGACACGGGTGGGAATATTATATATATATATATATATATATATATATATAACATTGAGCAAGCAATCCTTTGGATCAATTTGTAGTGGGCAAACAAAATACTGTGAAGATCAATCATAGTGGCTGAATTATGACTAAATAAAACACCGCCCAAAAGATCACCAAAACTATATAGTGAATCACTCTCATCACTACACTTCTACATTTCCTGATTGAATACAACATAAACAATTCTTAAAATGTAACAATTGTAGTTAGTAACCTGGATAATTGAAAACCACATCAGGGAAACCAGACGTTGCATAACAATGCAATTTCCCCCTCTTCAAAAAAATTTTACATCCAAAAAAAAGAAGAAAATAAAGAAAGGCGCCAGGCAGAGAGAGCGCACACACGTAAGTGATGTTCGTAAATTAGATACCACAAAACAAATATAGTATATCCAGGTTGCAACAATAACATCCATAAGAATAAATTAAGATGTCCAGACAAATTAAATACCATCAAACAGATGTATATGGTTGGCCACAATATGCAACAAGATAATTAATGGTAAATATGTTGACAAAAGCAACTTCGTTAAACATCATATGGTTCTAGCAAAAAAGGCCACCACATTCAAAATGCAGGTTTGAAAGAAGTCTACCTTAGTTGCAAAGCCAAATTTGGCACAGTCGATTGCAATCCGCGTAGCTCGACCTATGCTCTCTTTTGTCCGTGTCAAAGATTTGATGATGGCTTCAAAGGAAGACAAAGCTTCACTTTTGCTGCTAGACTTTCCAGCAAGTTTTGCTTTTTCTATATGTAAATGAACGTCAGGACAGAAGGAACTGTTATTTACAAGAGATCTCTTATTATCTAAAGCAGATATGTGGCAGATGGAGGAACTATGAGGAGAAGTTCTTGCAACAGATTCTGGCCCATCAGTCAGAGATGAAGACGACTGAGTCGCTGAAACAGTTTTATCCTCCATATGTTCATTGGAAATGTAAGTCGAATAAGTTGAAGATTGAACATGCCCTCTATTCAAAACCTTCATTGGAGTAACGGGTTGCATAATTTTCGAATTTAATGACGATGGTCTTGTTTCTTCCACATACTCACACCTTAAAACACAAAGACAGAAAGCAAGGTAAACAAATTGCACATTAAGAAAAAAACAAAAGTGACACAAGCATTTAAAACTTCTTACATCCTACTGTCTGGGTTATGCTCAACTGAAGGAAGGTCCTTTGTCTTGTGTACTTCACCACCATTATCATCTGGCCGGTTACAAATGTCAATATTAGGTATACAAACAGCAATATCTTGCATAGAGGTAGAATCTGTCGGTATCTGCAGAATATCAAAATCAGATCCCTTAGCAGCTTCTTTCAACTCCGTGCATCTAGTCATGCAGTGGTCAGTGGGGGACATCATTGCACTTGGTGCATTGCAGTTTAAATTATCCAACTGATCACCTAAATTTTCTGTTTCCGTTTTCAAATGATCCTCCTCCGCTATAGTGTCGGTCTCTGCAGGGACCTCAACAAATGGAAATATGTCTGCACCTCTGGTATCATCATCACCTTCCGCTTGTCCACCTGAACCTGTGTGCATTTCAGGATTCTTGCTTACGGTAGTATTAGCTTTACCATCAGTAGTATTAACTTTACCATCAATAGTATTAGCTTTACCACACTCTGGTACAACCCTAGTAGTAATTTCTGCATCAATTTCTGATCTTACATCTGACACAACGCATGGCCCCGGAGCACTCAATAGTGAATCACCATTCGGTAGATCGTCCATAGCTTCAGACCCTAACCCTTTCATTTCTTTCCTTCCCTCAGACGTCTCATAGCATTTCAAAGAGGAAGAAGCACAGTACCCATTGCTCTGAATATTGGCTGCTGGTGAACAATTGAAAGTTCTTTGACAATCTTCAGCCACATTGGCAGACATGGCTTCTAGCGCACGATGCAGACGTTTAGATGGAGGTAAAGCAGCTTCCCCATCCACAAAATTCTTTCTTGATTCCCAAAAGCTGGGCCTATTAGCAGGACTTACATGCACTAATGACGAAAGAGCAGGTTTTTCCTTGACGGGGACAGATTCTTTGTTAGCATGGTCCTCCACCTTGGAACTCAAGGGCTCATAGGACTGCACAGAGCATCTTTCAGGAACTTCAGACAATCGTTCCTCTCTCTGCACTGGAGGAAATTCGTCCTCAGCTGTCGGTGATGGTCTGCCCATACGAACTCTGGCTCTCTTGACTAGCGGCAAGTGTTCATCACTATCATCCTTAGCCTGTTTTTGGTCTGGTTTCTCACTAAGACTGGGTGAAACAAGTTCAGTTTTGGTCTCTTCCGCATCCGAAACTACTATATTGAGTTTCGATGTGTCGACTGCACCGTTGTTGTGTCTTTTGCGATTAGGCTTCCTCTTCTTCTTCATAACATTGTTGCTTTGGAAGTCAAGTCTATCACTTAACTCTGTTTCACCTTCATTATTTTCAGCAGTGGGCTCCCCAGCTCCTACTGGCTTGCTAACTGAGTCGACAGTGCTGCCATCATCAACACTAAGTGTATCAGAGTTCACACTCATTGTTCCAGAATTACTCTCTTCAACGTAATCATTTGCTTTAATAGCAAGTGGGTCGATGTTCTGCCCATCAGACTCATCAGACGACTTGACAATCCTCTGACTTCTTCTCAAAGATCTGTCAGATGCACTAGCACCAAAGCGCCTAGTGGACCTATTACTATTAACAGAAGGCAGAGTTGTACTCTGGAGCCTATTATCTATCCTTGAAGAACTTCTTAACCTTCTCACAGGTTTCCTCTTTGTTGAGCCACTGTCTCGCGACCGAGCAACATCTGTCTTGTTTCTTGTTAAATAAGGAGTAGACGCTGGTATTTTGTTAAACACTGCATTATGAATGTTTTTATTCTCAAAAGCATCATCAGTGGCAGCAGCTACAGCAGCTTTATTTAGAGAGTCGAGATCATTAATGGTCCCAGCAGAGAGCAGATCAACCTTAACTACAGGAGCTTCATCCTTCCTAGATGCAACAACAGATTCTTGCGAGTAGTTCTCATTGATGATATCAGTTTCCGTACCGTTAGGACCACTAACTTGTTCCTGTTTCTTTAACTTTTCGTAGCACTCGATTATCTCATTTGCTGCACGAACAAAATCTGCACCTTTCCCATGGCGTTTTCCCAACAAGGACACTTTCTTCTCTTCTGTGAATTCTTCTATATCCACTGGATTACAGAAAGCACTGTACAAAAGAAACAAAAGGAAGAGCAAATGGGAAATCTCAATAGTAGTAACACAGACCGTAATATTTTCCAACTAGACCACCAGCTAAAGTACAATAGATGTAACCATAACACACACACAACATAGATCACTATAGTTCCATTATCGTGCTGTTAATTCCTCAGCATGAGGATTCCCTTCCAGTTGCAACAGTCAACATCTCAAGGAAATAAAATCAAGAGTTGAAACTCATAAAACATTATAAATAATTTTTTAATCCATATAAACTCTCATCATGCATTCTATGTTTCAGATGACGGACAATTGATTAAAAGAAATAGAGCCCATTAGTAACGCAGCACATACGCTATGACATGGTAAATGTAAAGGAACTCGAGACATAATTTCAAGATAACATTCTCTGATCTATTTTGGTAATTTGACACCTATGAGGCATGAGCCGACCAGTCGCATAGAATACATGAAGGTATCCTCAACTGACATTATTTTATTCAAGTATCAGAGATATATATCAATCAGGCCATCAAACCATGAGCAACTACAGACTACCAAATCTACTTGTGCGGAAAAAATCACAGAATGGTACTCATCATGTGACCATCCTACGATACAAAAGAAGTTCTAAAAGATATACGTAAAAAGGAAGTTCTAAAACATATATACTAATATCATGTAGAGAGCTTTCTATGAGTGTTATTTTCACTCAGTAGCTACACATGGCAATAAAAGGAAAAAATAGGCCTACACAACAAACCGAACAGCGAAGTGTTTCATATAGAGTTGGAAAATAGCCATGCAACATACTAAAGGCCTCACAAAGATGAGTATAAAAATCATAGTTATTGAAAGGCTAGAACGGCCAAGAAACGAAACAAATTAGGATAGAAGTCAGCAAGTAGCACTGGCCATACTAGTAAAGTCACAATCACGTGATAAATGACGGAAGTCACGGAACCTACAAAAGCATACATCAGGAATAAGAAACTAAGACATGCTACATAAAAACCTAATAATAACATTAATAGTATACTTAACAACAAGAGGACAAACGTATTATAAATAGTAATGTTACTCGAAAAGCATCAGTACTCACATTTGCTCACAACCGAAAAATTGTACTACTATTTTCTTATAATCAGCAGCGTAGCCCCATTTCCCTGGGTCGCTCACCTGCCATGTGAAAATAAGACTGTCAATAAACTTTTGAGTTACAAACAAAACCAATAATGTAGACAACCATCCACTGCCTAAAGTCAAACAAGCTTTAAGATAAAAACACTAATGCATGAATCACTGGTACGAGGCAATATAACCTAGTATCAACATCTTCACCCAGCAAAATATACAGATAACCACTGATGCATTCTTCAATTATCACCTTATAATTTTTAGAGACTAAATCATGCAAGTAGAAGTGACAAGGGAAGGATCATGAATACCAGTTTAGGGAGGTAAGTTTTGGAACACAACATACTGTCATTAGTTTCATTTTTTTAGGGCTCTGGAAGAAAGGCTTTTCAATTGGGTTATTGAGTTCATCTCTCCGTTTTAGTTCCAATCTTCCTAACCATATGTATCCTCACATCTTTCTACAACTAATGGAAACCTGATGTCAAATTTCATGGACTAAAGGGAGAAGTGTGTCCTGTAAACTTCATGAGCAATATTTCACTACCTGCCAAACAATTCTTAGAGAAGCAAAGTTACACATAAAAAGTGCAGTTATTTTCCGGTCAGTACGAAGTATAAAACTGAATTGCCCTAGAAAACAGCAATTTTGTGAAGGTAAAATTAAGTTTAATTTGGTCATGTAGTTCCATCCTGCTCAAAATACATGGGTGTTATACAGTCCCAATTTCAAAGAATCTTTCAAGCTCTCTACTTCTGGAATTCTTTCTATTAAATATGCGCGGTTGAATTCTAGAATAATTCGTATAAAATTGATGAAAGCACAACAAAGATCAATAACTAATTCTATTTTATTTCAAAAAAAGATGAATGTATTTTCTATAAAGTTCCATACTATCCGCGATGCACTATTCTTGTAATGACAGTCCCTTTAGGCCTTTACTTCATTTACAACTAAGAATAACAGATTAATTTCAATGGTCAACCACTCCCTGAAATTGAAAGAGAACGAGCGTGGATTGGAACTTAATTTGGATGATGAGACAGAGTTTAAACAGCCCAAAAATCCACTCCCCAGGTAGAGTTGTAACACAAATAATAGCAGACAAAAAAAATAACACACAAACTGGGGGAAATACATGCACGAGACTACATCTGTTCTTATCAGAGTATATGGAATAGATCAAAAGATGAACTAGATGCATGATTTCAATAACTATGAGGGAATAAAGGAACCAAAATCAGATATTAGATCCTTATACGAATGATTGGAACATGAATACAAGTTGTATCAAATCAGCTAATTCCATTAAACAGACAGCCTATCTACATTGTAGAATTGAACTTGTCAAAATGTACCTGAGTTGCAAGCTTGCTGATAACTTTATGTCATACTTAATTACCTAAAAGGATTCATACAGCAGCCCCTCCAAAATCTACCCTCAGTTTCTTCTTTAAAAGTAAACTCCATACCATTTCACTAACACCAAGAATTATCCAAGACATCAAATTTAGAGGTAAAAACTTAAAACTTCCGGGACAGATCCAGTACGTTTAGTGCATACAAACCCCAATTAGACAACCCAAGAAACAATAAAATGAACACCCAAGAAAGCTCAGCTTTAGATGCTTAAGAAGCGCATGCAAGAACTCCCAACTAAACGGATGAAATGAAAAATCAAGAAACAATAATAATCAATTCGCACAAAAGACTTACAGTTGCAGGCCACGCTGGAAATCCTTTGACTTTGGCAAGCACAAGATCCCCGACCTTCCACTTCCGCCTTGCAGCGGCCGCGGCCGCCGCTTTGCTGACACCCCTTCTTCGGCTCGGCGCCATAGAGCCACTACACCAACCGAGAAATCCCAGGCATTGAAAGATCAAATCAAATTGAAGTATCGAAAGCCCTAATACCCCCGCTGCAAATTATGCGCTGCCTGCTACCAAATTAATTGGGGGCAGATGCAAGCGCTTATTCAGAGTTCAATCAAGTTGAGTGTGGCTAAACCCTAACCCTAATCAGAAGAGGGTCACTGTGGGGTGCGGGTGAGGGGTGGAAGAAAGGTTGTGTGATAATGGGCGAAAATTACAGATGTGAAACGGGTCGGTGTGATTTTTAGTAGGGGGGTCGGTGCTAACGTGCGCCTGTGGGGTGTGCTAGAGAGCGCGTCGGCTCACTTACAAAATTTGAACTACGACTCTATTGTCTCTCAAAAGAAATATCCGTCTCTTATGCGAAGAGTGGCTTTTCCCATTTGGGGATCTAGGGTTCCACATTGGTGGAGTATTACCTTTTAATCTATTGCTTTGCGTGGTTTTGTATCATTAAGGGCTCATCGTCACAACTTCACTGCTATGGTACGGGGAGAATCAAGTTCGATCAGAGAGATGGAAAGGACTCAAGATACAGAAGTAGACCAAGAGCTAGCTGGGAAGTTTGCAAGTTTTGTACTGTCGGAGGAAGAAAGGTTAGGGGTTAATCTTCTCAACTTAGATGTGACATCAGGTGTGGATGAATGCAAGAAAAGTCTGTTTTGTAAAGTGTTTGGGGAAAAAAAAGTTAATTTTTCGGGCCTCAAGACAACATTAAGCAACATCTGGCCAATAAAAGGGGGCTTTACGATGAGAGAACTGGACTTCAATTGTTATCAGTTTATATTCCAATCAGTGGTTGACAAAGAACGAGTACTCAGAGGCAATTTGTGGACTTTCGATAATCAGTATTTAATTATGAAGGAATGGGAGGTGGGTATATGTCAACAAGTGGAGAATTTCAGCTCAGTGGTGCTTTGGGTGCAAGTGTGGAATGCTCCAATTCATTGGATGTCAACAGATGTGGGGATTAAAATAGGAGGAATCTTTGAGAAGGTTTGGGATGTAGCTCTTCCAGATTCGGGCAGTGTCAATGGCATACATATGAAGATTAAGGTTTCTGTGAATCTAAATAAGCCTCTACCAAGGGGAACCAAAGTTGCTTTGAACGGAATGTCGCAATGGGTGGATTTTAAATATGAAAATCTGGTGGGATGCTGCTACTATTGTGGGAGAGTGGGTCACCTTGAAAGAAGGTGTAGGAAAAGGGAAGATGATTTCGTGAATAACAAACTCTTAGAAGGTCAATACGGGGAGTGGTTAAAAGCTGCCATTGGACACAGGCAAGGGAATAATAGAGAATTGCAGAATAAAGTGGGAAGCAGACAAAGAAAGACTGATGATATGGGACTTCAAGCGAATCAAAGCACTAAGGGATCACTAGAGGAGGAAATTATTCTACCTCAGAACCTGGAAGAGGGTGAAGGGGATATGGCAAATAAGGTGGATGATCAAGTCAAGGATGATCATATGTTGAAAGGAGGAGAGGAGGATTGCAATGGGGATTATGATGCTGATGTGAATATGGAGGATTGGGCTGGTAAGAGCAGGGGGAAGGATAAGAAGGCAGATGATGGATGGGGGGTCCAATATAAGGGAGGAGATGATCAGGTTGGGGATGATGCCATGGGGTTAGGGATAGATGAAAATTGTGTAGAATCCCTGGAGGAGGGAGAAGGAGGGGAGGAGACGATTAGGTGGTGCTCGAGAGGTAAAGGGGAGTTGAAGAGGGAAAAATGGGCAGGGCTGAGGGAAATGCGAAGGAATGAGGGAGAGGGAGTTGGTGAGAGAGTGGAAATTGGAGAGAAAAGGAAATTGGGGTGTGAGGAGAGTCAGAATGAAGAAGGGGGTGGAGTGGGGAAAAAACTAAAACTGGAGAGTTCGGAGAAGCAGATGATTTTGAATACAGAAGGGGTGGGCGCCAACCTTATTTGGGCCCCAAGTGATCAATGAGAGTTATGGGGTGGAACTGTAGAGGCTTGGGAGGAGCCTTTACAGTTTCCCAGTTCAAGGAGGCCATGAGGCTCCACCTCCCAGATTTGGTATTTTTAAGTGAAACAAAAAAAAAAGAAAGGTTTTGTGGATACAGTTGCTAGAAAGATCAAATTGCTTAAGGGGTGGCAGTGTATAAATCCGTGTGACAGGAAAGGTGGAATGTTTGTAGGGTGGGGGAACAAGATTTCAATCCTTCAGTGCCTGTGGTCACCCTTTTGTGTAGAAATTAATTGCTGCTGGGAAGGGTTGTCTGATGATTTTTGGGTTGTATTTATTCATGCCAGTACTGAAGCTAATGTTAGATTGCTTCAATGGGAGTTTTTGGTTAGTGCTAAAGAAAAGTGGGGTAGGTTATGGTTGCTCGGAGGTGATTTTAATGATATTGGGTGTAGTGAAGAAAAGAAAGGAGGGAGAATCAGATCGGAGGGAAGCTTCAGATCATTTAACTCTTTTGTTAGGGATATGGGGATGGAAGAAGTTAATTTTTTGGGGCATCCGTTTACTTGGGCTAACAATAGAAGGGGGGAAGGATTTGTCGAAGAGAGGTTGGATAAGTGGTTTTGTTCGGTGCCCTGGCTAGTCAAATTTCCAGAAGCGGTGGTGAAACATATTCAGAGGGTCTCATCAGATCATTGTGCAATTCTGTGGGAGGCTTGGCCAGAAAAAAAAAATAATAATAAAAAGAAACGTTTTTTCTTTGATCAGAGATGGACCAAACACGAGAAAGCGAAAGAGGAGATAGAGATCGCTTGGGACCAACCAGTTATGGGTACTCCTTTGGTGAGAGTTCAGAGGAAAATTTCTAATTGCAGGGTGGCTTTATTGAAGTGGCAGAAGAATTGCTTTCCCAATTCTGCAAAGCTAATTAAGATCTGTAATCAAGGCCTAGAAGAATTGGTGAAGATGGGAGGAGCGAGGGACTGGTATAGTTGGGCTGAATTACAATTTAAATTGAAGAAAGCTCATCGGGATGAGGAGACATTTTGGCGGCAGAAGTCTAGAGTGCAATGGCTCAAGGACGGCGACAAAAACTCAAAGTTCTTCCATGCTAGTACTACACAGAGAATAAAATTGAATTCAATGGAAAAACTGAAGAACAGGTTTAATCAGGAGTGTCAATCTCAAGAGGAGGTGCTGGAAGAAATTGTGCATCATTATACTCAGTTATTTACATCCTCAACGCCTGATGTTCAGCCAAGAATATTGGAAGGGCTACCTATTTCCATCTCATCTGATCAGAACAAGGATCTTGTTGCAGCTGTGACTATGGAAGAAGTGAAGAAGGCCCTTTTTGATATGAACCCTAACAAAGCTCCAGGATTAGATGGTATGTCCCCTCTCTTCTTTCAGTTTGCTTGGGAGAAAATCCAAAAGTGTATTTTTGAGGCTGTTTCTGATTTCTTTTGTTGTTCTCGAATCCCCAAATGTGTGAATCATACCCTTATTACCTTAATTCCCAAAATAAAAAATCCTTCTAAAATCTCCCATTATAGACCTATTAGTTTATGTAGTGTGGTGTACAAGATTATTGCTAAGATTTTGGCAGGGAGACTTAAGAAGGTGATTGCTCATTGTATTAGTCCTAGCCAGGCAGCATTTGTGCCAGGCAGACAAATTTTGGACAATGTGGTGGTGGCTCATGAATGTCTGCACTATCTAAAAAATTTGAGGAAGGGCAGGAGAGGCTTTGTTGCTATAAAGCTCGATATGGCAAAAGCATATGACCGTATAGAATGGGGATTTCTTGTTGCAGTTCTTACTAAGATGGGTTTCCACAGAAAATTTGTTGGGTGGATTTTTGCATGCATCAGTTCTGTGTATTACTCTTTTAATTTGGGTGGAGAAGTGTGTGGTTTTTTGAAGTCATCGAGGGGTATAAGACAGGGAGATCCCATATCTCCCTATCTTTTTATTATAGCCTCAGAAATTTTTTCAAATCTTTTGAGGCAAGCTGCCAGCAGAAATGAATTTCAAGGGTTGAGGATCAGTAGGAAAGGCCCTATGGTTTCTCACCTTTTTTTTGCAGACGATGCACTCTTATTTTGTGATACATCTCTACGCTCAGTGCAGTGTATCAGACAAATTCTGAAGGACTATTGTGAAGCCTCTGGTCAAATGGTAAATTTTGATAAGTCCTCATGTTTTTTCAGCAAGAATGTGGAAAGCAGTAACAGAGAGGAGGTGTGCAGGGTGTTGGGGAATATGCAAAATCATCAAAGTACGAAATATTTGGGGTTACCAATGGTGATTGGAAGAGGAAAAAAAGGGATCTTTCAGTTTGTGGAGGAGGTGACCAGATCAAAATTACAAAACTGGAAAGGAAAGTTGTTGAGTGTGGCAGGTAAAAAGGTTCTTGTCAAGACAGTAATCAATGCACTCCCAGTGTATGTAATGTCATGTTTTCAAATTCCAAAGTCCATTTGTGCCAATGTTAATGCTTTGGTTATGAAGTTTTGGTGGGGGGAGAAAGAAGGAAAAACATGTCAGGCTTGGGTCAAATGGGATAATATGTGTCTGGATAAGAAAAATGGGGGACTGGGATTTAGAGATTTGGGTGCTTTTAATCAAGCTCTTTTGGCTAAACAATTATGGAGACTAATCACTAATCCTAATCTCATGGTGAGCAAAGTGTTGAAAGCAAAGTATTATCCAAAAGGGGGGATCAGTAATGCTCAAATTAGAAATGGTGATTCATGGATTTGGAAGAGCTGGGCTAAGGCTAGATCAGCTCTGGCATTGGGGCTTAGAATGCAGGTAGGTGATGGCCAAAACATCAGGATATGGGAGTCCCCCTGGATTCCAAATGTGGCAGGATTTAAACCCTCAGGAGTTCAAGGGAGAGACATGAGGGTTGAGTGGGTTAGTGACCTTTTGAATGCTGATGGGAGAACCTGGAACAAAGAATTAATCTGCCAAATCTTTTGTCCTAGGGAGGCTAATGAAATTCTCAAAATTCCTCTGCTTCACACTGA